GTTATTTTGAATAATTGTGAGAAATTCTAGAACCATTCATCATCTTCATCCTTAGTCTTTTTCCACTATTAAGGAGCTTTATCTATAAAGATTGAGTGTTGAGAGAAACTAGTGGTACTTTATGGTATCTGATGTTTTTGAATGAAGTTGTTATTTGTTACAGGTGTAAATGTCATTTCTTGAATGCAGTTTGGCATTTGTTATTCATCTAGATAAGAGTTTATTATACTCCAAGGAAGAATTTAGCGAGATTAAGTATCAACTTTCTGTAAGGCAAAGATGGAAGTTGTCCATCTTTTTTGGAGTTAGAGAAAGATTGTTGTATACAAAGTTAGTAGTTGTTCAATCAACGCTTAGGTAATCAAAATCACTCAGACAAGAGATCGGTGGGATCAGGTGGATTGCCACATATGAATAATTGGAGTAGGACTATTGTGGATAGCAAGGTTATTGGATCAACATATTTTAGAGATCTTGTTTTTTTTAGCAGTCGAGTATCTGCAACAATAGAGGGAATTATCTTTTGATAGTTCATTATAATTAAATTTCTTGTAATCAAACTTATCAAAATAGTGAAAGATCGTGGTTATTTTCCAATGGTTTTCAACACCATTGAATAAATGGAGTAGAAAAAGCGAGGATGAATGTCGAACCACTATATATCTATATGTATCTTTTATCATTCCCTTATCCTCTTTTAATTTTATAGTATTAATTAATTTTTCTACTGCATTAGTGCATCATTACATAGATTGTATGCCATATAGTTAGAATTTGCTTATAGAGATTTAATGTATAAGCTAGGTCTATGGTGTATCAATTTTATTGAAGTATCATGAATCCAATTATGTCTTGATAGAACATATATGTAAAGAGTTTTTAAATATCTTTGTTTCAAGCTACTTTGGTTGTCTTGTGATAGACTTGCATTAGAGAAATCAAGTGCTTAGTAACTATCATGTATCATTTCATTTGGTTTAATTCATTGAGATGCTTCCAAGCTCTCTTTTTTTGTGTTTTTCTTATGTGCTTTTTAAATCTATAATTTCATATATGTGACCTTTTTGTACCTCAAAATTTTCCCTCTCTATTCTCAAGACATTTCTCACAAAAGATCTCAAAAGCTGAAGAAGCTTCAAAGAGTTTGATCAAATAAGCTCACTTCCTAAGCACCGAGCCTCCAAATTAAGATTTTGATTTTCTCAAAGACAATTGGACTTTTGATGTCTCAAATTACTTTCATGGTTCATTATAGGTCTTCAAGATTGCTCATACCAAGTTTCAAGCCTTGTATAACAAATTTGCTCAGTCAATTGCTTAGATGACTGAAAATCAGCTGTAATGGGTAAAAAGTCAATTGTGGTCAATATACAGTCAAACTTTATTATTTTTGTCCAAAATCAACATTTTGAAGTATATTTATCAATTGACCAAGTTTTGATCACAATTCCTCAAGAAAAGCATTCAAATCATTAAAACGGCAAAATTGTCAAAATTAGGGTTTTGACTGAGAATGACTGATTCGTGATTTTTGACCTAGTACATGACCTAATGATTTGAAGCATGATCTCAAGGATTAAAACACAATATCTTGACCTAATTTCATGGCTCAAATAATTTCTCAAGATCAATGAATTAATAGTTGAAGTTTGATCAATTGATGAAAAGTCAACTAATACACAAGAAGTAAAACTTTGACTTTTTGGTCAACATTAAATTTCAAAGATCAAGATTCATAAAGGCACTCAAAAATGTCAAACTTGATCATCAAGAATCAAGGAATTTAAAAAGTCAACAAAAATTCAATATTTCAAAGACTTAGAAAAATTCTAAGTGTTTTTAACCTTGATAATTTCAATACTTCATGACAAATTTTCACCATCATGCAAGATGATTCAAGGAAAATTTTAAACATGAAAGTTGTAGATATTGATGAATTCTACAACTTTGTCCCTTAGGGTCGATGTCCAAAAAATGCTTATATTTGAAGATATAAGCTCATAAAGTCATGACATTTTTCATAAAACACTTTAGTGAAAATTTTAGCAAGTTTAGGCAGAATTTTGACCTAACTTCTTGACCAATTTTCACCTTGTTCCAAGATGATTTAGCCAAAGTTGTTAACATGAATGTTGTATAAAATTTTTCAAGCTTTCCAAAATGTCCAAGAACTTGAAGAGATCATTTTTTAGCTAGGAGATTCGAAGAGAAGAAGTTGGGCATCCATTCTTGAATCATAGGTCATTTTCATGAAGAACACTTGAACAAATCTCAAGCCATGCTGCATAAATATTGCTTTTCAGGATTCAAACTTGCTAATCATTCAATATTTAAATGTTTACACAACTGTTGGAGACATTATCCAAGTGTTTGAGCCATTGTCCAAGATAACTTTCCATTTTTGGCACAAAGTTACCATTTCCATTCTTGTAAAGCAAGCTTTATGCATAAGTCAATGCATTGAGACTCTCACTTGTTTCTTCTGATCACACTCCATTGTAAAGTGAATAAGAAACCTCCCTACATCCAACAAACTCATACCATGGTTGTACTTGAAACTTGGAACTATGAAAGTCCATTCAACTTGATTTCTCATTTCCAACCAAACCATAACATGTTATCTCAAAATTCTGGTTACTTCATGATGTCAAACCTCTTGCCTATAAATAGAGAGGTCATTTGCAACCTAACACATGAATTCACAAGCCTTGAAACATCCTGAAACTCCCTAAAACTCAGAACTGCATCCAAACCTCCATAACTTGTCATTTCTGGCCAAAAACATCAATCTCACAATCCACTGGTGCATTTTCCCTCTAAATCATTCTCAAAGCTTCTATACATCAAATATAACTCATCCCCATCCCTGTTTCACAACTCTAACTCTATCTTCATCATCTTCCAAACTCAAAAACTCAACTTTGCACATTGACTTCTCCAACACGATTCAACCACTTTCAGCACAAAGTAAGAGTTGCATTAGCTTCCTTGGAGTCCAGTGAAGCTTTTCAGATCATCACCACACCTCCCAAAGTGCTCAAACTCCATACATGATTTCTAGTTTTGAGGTGAGTTTTCTTAACTTTGAACTCTCTCTACAAGCATCATTAATGGTTACTTTGTGAATAAAAAATGTAGACATTATAGTCCTGAAGCTAACCATGCCCTTAAATTTCATTTATGTTGCCTGAGTGTTGCGGATTTTGAAGATGAACTTTATGAGAAAATTAGATTTTTATTTGGTACCAGTAAAATTCTCATTCATCTTTGATTTATATCTCATGAAATTTATATGGTTGAATTCATATTGAAAAATGGAGAAAGATCAATGTTCATACTTTTGCAAATGGTTGAGAAATGAGTGAGTTCAGAAATTCAAAAATCTTGTCAATGGAAGTTAGCGCGAGGTTAGGGATGAAGTTTCATTTAGAAATGAGTTTGTAATATATTTGTTAGTTGTTGTTCTATAAACGGATGAGACAGCCACCCCAGTGGCAGAGAGAGCGCGCATAAGGCATTGAATTATAGGGACCTGGGTTCGAGCCCTAGTGGTACCCTTTTTGTTTTTTATATTTTCTCCTTGAAGATTAAATACAAGAAGGCTTTGTACGCGCGTCATACACCCTCATTCCATCACCATAAGATCATCATAGGGTCTCATCCAACACACAACAAGGCAAGCCCATGGTGCACCTCAAGATGCCATCCACACTGAATCACAAAATAGGCGTTGGATCTGTTGTTTTTAGCCTAAACTATTTCTGATTCTCACCCCCCATTTTACTGTTTAAAGCGCAAGCCCATTCACACTTTTTTATTTTATTTATTTTTCTAATTACAAAAACACATTGAGCTTTTTTCTCTTTGCTTATTTCTAACCCCCTTTTACCTTTTAACACCCAACCCATATATCTTTATATTTTTATTTTTATTTATTTATTTTATTAAAGCCAAAAATATAAAACATATATTTTTCATTAAATAATTCAATTTAAGTATTTTATTTTATTTTTATTAAATTAAATTTTATTATTTTCTTTTACAATGTAGGATATTTTCTTAATTAATACTAACACTACAAGAAAATTAGTGTTTAACGACACAAAAATTGCGACAGTTATGTGATAACTGTCGTAATTGACATATAGAGACAGTGTTTACGACGGTAAAACAACCGTCGGCCCCCATTTAACACTTTTAACATTGATTTTTCACCAACAACTAGTCACGACGGTAAAATTAACCGTCCTAAAAGGCATATCACGACGGTAAAGCACCCGTCGCACCTTTAAACCTTTCACGACGGTAAAATTATCCGTCCTAAAATTCATTTCACGACGGTAAAACAACCGTCGCACCCAAAACCTTTAAAAATTCTCATGGTCCCGACGGTAAAACACCCGTCGCCGTAAAAAAGTTAAAAAGCTCTTAAAAAGCTCTTATTCATTTCATTATTCTTGTTACAATTTTATTTTTACAGTGAACCCTTCATCTCTCTCCCGCGCAGCCTCTCACCCCCCAACCTTCAAACCCAGTTCTCCCTCAATCAAAACCCAACCACCAAAAACAAACAAAAAGCTAAAGATCTTACCCCTTTCGCGATTGCTTTATGACTTTCTGTCCGATTTGTTCTGATCTTCTTTCTCTCTTGATCCCAATACCAAATCATCGAGTTTGGAGCAAAACCCAAACTCCTCAATTCCAATCGAGTTTGGAGCAAAACCCATAGCGCCATCTCATCTCTTGCCAAATTGCACAACTCATCTGATCCTAATGAGCGAGAAGTTTGTGAAATTCTCAAGGGTTTGGGAGACAATGTTAAAGAAGTTGATGCGGAGCATGTTCTGCATAACATAATAAACCCTGAAATTGCGATTCTTGCTGTTAAATACTTCCAGAAGAAGATTGAACCGGAGAGACATGTTGTTCTTTACAATGTGTTGTTTAAGCTTTTTAGAGAAATTAATGATTTTGAAAAAGCAGAGAAGGTGTTTGAGGAAATGCTGCAGAGAGGAGTCAAGCCTGATGTTGTTACGTTTTCGACTTTGATTAGGTGTGCTTCTGTTTGTTCTCTGCCTCACAAATCCGTGGAGTTGTTTGAGAGGATGCCTTCTTTTGGGTGTGAGCCGGATCATAATGTGTCGTCGTCGATGATTTATGTTTATGCTCGCACAGGTAATGTTGATATGGCTTTGAAATTGTATGATGATGCGAAAAATGAGAAGTGGCCTGTTAGGGCAGTTGCATTCTCTGCTTTGATTAAGATGTATGGTGTGTTGGGAAACTATGATGGGTGTTTATAATGGCTTTGAGTGTTTATAATGATTTATGCAGCAAGTGTTTATAATGGCTTTGAGTGTTTATAATGGCTTTGAGTGTTTATAATGATTTATGCAGCAAGTGACTTGCTGTTACGATTTACTGACATTCAGTTTTTGTCGTTTTGATTTTCATAAAAGTTAAAAAAAATATATTAATGGTTTTCTTTCATTGAAACAGGGATTACTTGCAATACAACTTACAGCTGTATTCAAGAATCTGCATCCACCATCCTGTGCAAAGGAAAGTAGCACATGCATTGGACCAACAGCGGGACAAATGACGTTTCTATTTTCTGGGTTTTGCTTACTCTTGATAGGTGCTGCAGGGATTCGACCGTGTAATTTAGCATTCGGTGTTGATCAATTCAATCCAAAAACAGAATCAGGAAAGAAAGGAATCAACAGTTTCTTCAATTGGTATTATTTCACCTTCACTTTTGCTCAGATGATTTCTTTGTCATTGATTGTGTATGTACAATCAAGTGTGAGCTGGGCAATTGGTCTTGGAATTCCTGCTGCATTGATGTTGTTAGCTTGTGTGTTATTTTTCATGGGTGATAAATTGTATGTTAAAGTAAAACCAAGTGGCAGTCCCATCAAAAGTATTGTACAAGTTTTAGTGGTTGCAGTCAAGAAAAGGAGAGTTAAACTACCTGCTCAGCATCCAATGCTTTCCCTCTTTGATTATGTGCCATCCAAGTGCGATTATCCAAAGCTTCCTCACACATATCAATTCAGGTAAATGCATCAATCTAATTTAAATTTATTTCCTAACATTGAAATTCAACATGATGATGGCTCTTAATCCTGCTGGTTGATTATCACGGTAATCATCTTTTCCTCACTTTTCAAATTTTTATTTATTTATTTATTGAGTTTGGTTTATTGGCTAAAGTAAGGCTAGAAGATGGTTTATTTCTGTCAAATACTTCAATAGTCAGTTAGTTTTCCTGGATGGAAATTTCTATCTTACCTTGCTTCAGATTCTCATAATTATCCCAAAGAATATAAGGAACTATCAAGTCACCTAGTTTATGAGTTACCTAATGAGAAGAACCAGTTGGCATGTATTTCTGATTATGAATGCCAAAATCCCATGAACATTGTGGTTGAATGGGCTTAGAGTTTAACCATATCTGCGTTTTGTAGGCTCTGTTGCGGTGCTACTTTTATGTTTGCTGTCTGTAAGGTAAAATCACTTTTGCTATGCTTGTTTTGCTTGGAATTCCGGTATGCCATGACGGTTCACGGTTTAATCCGTCTAGTTAGGTTTTTAAAACACTGCTATTAATAGCACTTTCAAGTAGTAACTTTTTTTTCTTTTTGTCTTCACAGATACATCTAGCCATTATGGTCTAGATTCAGGATTCTACATGTCATCTTTTACAGCAACAATTTTCGTTGTTTCCCTTGTCACTCTTGGAGTTTTACTTATTACTTTGCTGGTTTCTTTGGTGATTATGCTGCAATCATGTCAAAGTAAAAGTACTGGAGTTATTGAACTTGTGAATATGAATAATTACTACAGTTATTGCAGGGTGTATTCTCTGCATGCTGAGATCAATAGGTTAGAGAGATATGATCTTCCAAACATATGTAGAGATCTGACTATACATTATATCAAAGGAGGGCATTATGCCAAAGAGTTGAATTTAATTGTGTCTATGATCGATGATTACTTCAAGAATCTGAGACCTTCAGACAATGGTTTGGATGTGGTGTTGTTGGATATAGATGATATTGTTCCTCCAAATTCGTATCAGAGGTGATAACATATTAGTGACTTGTTGCACTAACTTGCATAATTCTGGCTACTTCATAGCATTATTTGTAGTTCCACCAACTTGATGGCATTCTTCATTATTTTGGTGCAGGTTTCATAGGGACGGCATTAGCAACTGTGTCAAAGAGGCAAAACATGTAAAGCTCATGTTTGTTTTAAGATTATACATGAACCTTCAAACTGATGGGTGGCCTATAATTTTGGTATCAAGAGAACCTGAAATGTACCAAAATGTCACCATTAATCATCTTGTTTCTGCAGGATTTAGAGGTTGGTCTTCCTTGATGATGAGGTATAGTGACTATCTTCCTTTTATATCTCTAATTGCTTTAGACTTGCTTACAAACTTAGATTTAGCTTTACCAAAAGCATGATCCAATAACTGAATCTTATGATCTTATATTGTCAATGATCTGCACTTTTCCAGAACAGAAGATTCAGAGTCTACTAAAGGAAATGAGTACTTTTCTAGGTAAAATCACTTTTGCTATGCTTGTTTTGCTTGGAATTTGTTGTTTTTCTATTCCCTTCACTCTCTTTCAATATTCAAAGATACCCTAATGGATTTTACTATATAATTTGTATTTTTCTAAATTATGCACTGTTATTAATCACCTACTGCACTGTTATTCCCTTCACTCTCTTTCAATATTCAAAGATACCCTAATGGATTCTTCTGTTTGTGATGCTGAACTTCCTGAACTTTTAGCCTTTTTGATGCAAGGTAACCATTTACATGCATAAACATGCAACGCTTCTCCGATAAGCTGCGGGGGAAGCACATGTGTTGATCTAATAGTCATTATTATGCATCTGAAAAGATCTATGTTTAGAATGGATATATCCTCAGTCCACCAATCCTTTGGAACAAAATGGTGCTCTTTTCTGTTGTAACCAGGCCTAGTGTAAGTGTAAGACCATTTGACCTGTACATAATCAATGCATGAGACCAAGACGGTATCAAATATTATGCTAAGGAAGTTTTCGGTCTTGATTATTTTTTACCTGTGATAGAGGTGTAAGAACTTTTTCAATAATCGAATCAATGCATTTTCTTATTATGCCAAGATTCTCAGACCACTCTGGTAACTTCTCGGTGGCCTGCAGTGTTGAAACGGAGTCTTTCCAGCCTTCAAGAATGCAAGAACGGAAGAAAGACTCAAGTTTACCTACAAAGTTTCCCCTCTCAATGGTTTCATTCATTTGGAGGAGCTTAGCAGCACAGAGTGAAGGTACAAAATTATGAGCACTAATGTTGATTGAAACTCCATAGCAGAACTTAGCACAGAGTTCAAAAGCTTCTGCTCCACCAGGCATATCATGAAGCTCTAGAGGAACACTCTCAGAATCACTAATATCAGAACCAAGTCTTAGTAAAAGGCCACATTTCGAAAGAAGCGGAGACTGCAACCAACAAAAGTAGAATTATACACTAACCAATTTTTTGTGTGCGTATGTAGAAATAGAAGACAAACGAGCAACAATACCTTGTGTAGCAGATAAGTTGTATCATTGATTTTTATCACAAGGTCAGGAGGTATATCTGAAACTAGACTCCTGCATTCATGATTAAGATAACAAACTCATATCAAGTTTTCTATACTTATATCTTGACAACAAAATCATGTTGCAGAATATATAAAGAACTTGGTCTAATTTTAGGCCAGACAGACATGAATACCTGGTAGCTTGTTCGGTGTAGAAAGAGTCCGACCGAGTTCCAAGTTTCATGAACTTCATAGCTATTTGTTGTGATCTACTTCAGAACCTGCATAAATTCTAAAGAGTGGTAATTTTTTCCTCTTCATGCACTTAAAAGCAATTGAGGAAAGAAGCTGCATTATAGAATGTTACCTAAGTAGAACATGAAGTGAACTACATGATTTACCTTAACTAATGGTATCTAAGTAGAGCATAGATAGTTAAGACTATTTTTCTAAATTATGCTTTCGTATCCATCAGGTGCCAAACATGTCAAATGTTCATGCTGTCAAACGGTCAACATTGTGTTTGAAGGCAAGTTTACTTTCTCTTTGCTTCTTTTTATCTTGAACGTGTATTTTCTGTGAAACTTTGCACTTTAAGTTCAGCTTTTATGCACCTGGTTGATTAAATACTTTCATAAACAATTTCATGATGGGAAGAACAGTCCTGCTATTGGTAGTTGCGTGCTTGCTGCTGCAAATAATCTTGTGTAAAAAACATGATACGGCATGCATTATCGTTTTGTGTGGCAATCTATTTATATCATAGGTCATTTCTTCCCTGCAGCTGATCAGGTCGGGCAAGTTAAGTGTGGGAGTTGTACGCTATTGCTAATGTATCCATATGGCGCTTCACAGGTCAGGTGTTCATCATGCCGGTTTGTGACAGAAATCGGGGTATGTTAACTGATGTTATTCACTAATTTCCTTTTTGATGTGGTTTTCTGAATAAAGTTTGAAGCACAATATAAACTGTGCAATCAAAGGCAAACTGTTGTTTCCATTTAAATGATCACATTCTCATGCAGGCAAACAACAAGCGGCCTCCCTGGTCTGTAAGATAGTAGAAGAAAATATATTGGCCGAGTGAGGTGCGCAACTGCAGTTCCTGGAACTAGAGAGAGGATGGAGATGGAGAGGAAAGAGAGGGTAAGAAAAGCTGAGGCGTTGGTTGAGAAAGCAATGAAAGGGAATGATGCTTCTCACGATGCAGTGCATGTTTGGAGGGTTCGTGACCTTGCTCTCTCCCTTGCCTCTGAGGAAGGCCTCTCTTCTGATGTTTAAGGACAATTACCTCAACTTATACACAACTGATGTGGATACTACAGGTTGGATACACACCAAGTGTGGCTTTCCAAGCATGGAAGAAAGCATATTAGATCAGTTGAATGAAGAGTTGAAAGAGAAAATAAAGAATGATGTTTATGACATGCTTCTATATGAAGACATTTCTATCGTCTATATTTATCAGGAATTGAAAAAGTGTGTCGACGTGCTTCTATATGAAGAATGTCCTCAATTTATGTATCATACATATCTAAAGAACTTGAGACGCCTTGATACATATCCAAATTTGATTAGGTTTCTCCTTAGCGGAAAGTGAATTTTATTTTATTGGAGATTTTGTTGTAGTTGATTTTTCTGTACCTTATAACTTTTCATACAATTGGCCTTTGATGATATTTGAATTTTTCTTGTTTATTGGTAAAATTTGCACTTCTTTTTACCTTTGGTCACATTTTTTTGATATTATTGATGATTATTTGATATTAAATGTTTTTATTGTAATTAACTTTATTATGTTGAAAAGTGATAGAAAATAAAATAAAAATACTATAAATAAAAAAATATTAAAGTAAATAATAATTTAAATATAATAGTAAAATATTATAGTAAAATAATATTATATTTAAAATTATTTTACTAAATAATAATTTAAATAAAAATATTATTTGAAATTTATAAATCAGATTACGACGGTTAAAACCGCCGCAATTTCTAACCTACGGCGGTAGAATAACCGTCGCAAACAACAACAAAAACAAAAAATAAAGTCAAATTCACGACGGTATATAACCGTCGCTATCTGTTGTGCGTGACAGTTTTGCAACCGTCGCGAAATAGGCTGGGGACGCACGATTCTGCGACGGTACTTCTACCGTCGTAGATTGTAAATTGTGACGGTTTTAACCGTCGTAATCAGCCAAAATAACCGTCCCAATCTATCATTTTTCTTGTAGTGTAACATTCAAATTATTTTCTAAACAAATTACTTAGACTTAGGTTTTATTTTCTTCTTAAATTCAATTGACTTAGATTTTAGGTCTTGTTAAAAATTAATTAACTTCTTTCATAATTAAAATTAAGTAGTTCAATTAGAATAATCTCTAAACCTTTTCATCAAAAATCCAAAAAACAATTACCTTCTTTTCTTCTTCACCTTTACATTTTGTGTATTATTATTGTAATTCATATTCATTGGTTTGTGTTGTACACCAAAAATTTTCCTCTCATTTCTCAAGATTTTTCTCACAAAATTTCTACTGGGTCAAGACTGCACAAGTACAATTAGATCATATTGGATTTTCAAGCATCAAGTGAAAAAGGAGAGTATTGAAAAAGTAAAGCAGATAAATTTGATTTTTTTGACAAAATTGAAGAAAAGCAAGCTTGCTTCGATTCATACTAGCTTCGAATGGGCATTGCTTCGATTCATGCTAGCTTCGATTGAACTCCTTCCTTTATGCTAGCTTCGACTGGTCAATGTTTCCCTTTTAAACAACTTGCTTCGACCCATAGGTTTCGATTGGGAATTTTTCCTCCTGCATGCAAGTTCCATTTGGATATTGGCTATCTTTGACACTAAGCTTTGATCAGACAAAGGGCTACCTTCACAACAAAGCTTCGATTGGAGTTTTGGTTTCCTTCGAAGAAACATACTTCGAATCCAACTCTGGTACCCTTCATGTATACTTTGGTACACAAGCTTCATTCAAGTAGTGGCCTTCTACATGCATCCTTTGATTCACAAGCATTAGCCTCCAACATGATTGTTTCGATTCACAAGCAGTACATCCCTCATGCCTGTTTTTTATCTGTAAGACAAGTGCCTCCTTTATGCTTGCTTTCGACCCATAAGGAAGTGGCTTCCTCTGTGCTTGCCTTCAATGCACAAGGCAATGACTTCCCTTCATACTAGCTCCCATAAAGCAAATGGCTCTTCATGCAAGCCTTCGTTTGAGCAATAGCCTCTTGCATGCCTGCTTTGATTCATAAAGCAGTCACCTCCTGCATGCAAGCTTCGATAGGACAATGGCTTTGCATGCAAGCTTCGATTGGACAATGGCTCTTCAGGAAAGCCTTTGTTTGAGCAATGTCCTCTTGCATACTTGCTTGGAGTCACAAAGAAGTGACCTCCTGTAAGAAAGCTTCAATTGGACAAAGGCTACCTTCATACAAAGCTTCGATTAGAGTATTGGTTTCCTTCGAAGCAATATACTTCGAATTCAACTATGAACCCTTCGAGCAAACTTGGTTGAAGAACATTGATCAAATCTCATAGCCTTATCCTCCAAATCTCCCTTTTTAGGCTATGTTTCTTCCAAATCTTTACATAATCAGAGGCTTACACAAATTTGTGATACATTACACAAAGGTTCAAAGCTTTATCTATTGAATTATAACATTTTTGGATGAAATGGCAAAACGCTACGTATCCTTTTTTCATTAAGATTACTTTAATCACAAAGTTAGTGTTTTGAGCTCCCAACCTAATTTTTATCTGAACACAAGCAGTGCAAAAAGCATAAGTCAAATCTCCTACCCCCAACAGACATCATGCCCCCACTTGTACTTGAAATTGGGAACTATGAAAATCCATAAAACTTGATTCTTTCATTTTTTAACCAAACCATGGTTTGTTATCTTACCAACCTGGTTACTCCAACATCTATAACCTTTTCTCTATAAATAGAGAAACCATTTGCAAGCTAAGGGTGGCTTTTGGTAGCTGGAAAAACTTTGGTTGTGTGAAAAAATAATCAAACACTTAACACACTCTCAAACCCAGAATAAAAATACCACACCCTTGTTTCTGTTACTTCGAATCCAAAACTAAAGAAACAAAACACTTTTTTATTTTTCCTTCAAATCCAGAAACAAACAAACACAACTCCACTCTTCTTGGCTTTCGAATCCAGTCAAAGAAACACAATAATTATTTATATCCCTTCGAATCCATAAGCACCCAGGGCAGCAGCTCAAGTCTAAAACCCACATTCCAGCTTCAAGCAAGGTAAGTCTTCCTGACCCTGATCCTTTCGTTTCAAACCTCATTATTACCCTTTGGTTTATTTTCGTTTCCCCCTTTTCTGTTTGTTTTTGTTTCTAATATTTTGGTTTGTTTTCTTTGTTTGTCAAACACATTTTAAGCACTAACCTGACCATGAAACAATATTAGCATGGCTTCAACCCATGCTGCTATTTAATCCCAAACAAAAGAAAATAGGAAGAAGGTTGTGCTAATGGAAGCCTTAGGCTTCGCCCCATGCTGTTGTCTAACCCCAAACGAAAGGAAGCAGAAAAAGGGCGTGATCAAAGGGCACATACTCATGCTGATTTGCAGGTCCAAACGAGAAGAAAGAATGGTGAATCGAAGGGTGCACACTCACACTGACTTCCAGGCCCAATCGAAAGAAGCAAGAAAGGGTTGAATCGAAGGGTGCTTGCTGCCTGGATCGAAGAACTTGATTTCCCTTATTTTATTGTGTTTTGTTTTTATATTTTCTTGCTATTAAATATGGTTGTAATAGTGTAGGACATTTATTTTCTGCACTTCTATTGCTTTATAAATGTTAGTAATTAGGTTGTGTATGGCAAGTTAAAATAAACAAGTAGACAACCCAAATTCAAGACTAAATGCATGCAATCAGACACACCATTCACACACACCATTCACACACATGCACCTTGTTGTACCCCAAAATTTGCCCTCTCATTCATCAATTAATTTCTCACAAGATCTCCTTTGGTTCAAGACTGCACAAGGGTTGATCAGCTCAGGACACCTCCTTAAGCACTGATGACTGAAATTAGGGTTTGGGATTGCACAAGGATAATTGAACTTTTAGTGCATCATATGACTTTCATGGATCATTATGGACCCTCAATATTTCTCATATCAAATTTCAAGTCTTGGATCACATTTTTGCTCAGTCAATTGATCAGTTGACCTAAAAATAAGCTATATTGGGGAAAAAAGTCAATTGTGGCCAATTTGCAGTCAAACTTCATAATTTTTTATCCATATCAACATTATGAACTCCTATATGTCATTTGATCAAGTTTGGATCACAATTCCTCAAGAAATTTGATCAGATCATCAAAAGGGCAAAATGGTCAAAATCAGGGTTTTGACTGAGCAAAGGCAATTTCTGATTTTTGACCTAGCAAATGGTTGATTGGTTAGAAACATGATCTCAAGGTTTAAAATGCATAATTTTGACCTAATGGTATGACTCAAAACTTCCCTCAAGATTAATTGATTGATAGTTGATTTTCAGTCAACTGATCAAAAGTCAACTGTACACTAAAAAGTCAAACTTTAACTTTTTGGTCAAAATCAAGTGTCAAAGATCACAATTCATCAAAACATGTTAAAATATGAAACTTTTTCATCAAGAAATCAAAAATTCAAGATTTCATTTTGAAAAGTCAAAGTTTCAAAACTTAGAAATTTTTCTAAGTGTTGAAAACTTCATTTTTTTTCACAACTTTGAGCCAATTTTTCACCATGATGCAAGATGATTCAAAGGAAATTTTCAACATGAAAGTTGTAGATATAAATTAGATCTAAAACATTTCTTTACATAACTTCTCCTAGAAATGCATGGATTTCAAGTTATGATTTTGTGAATACATGTCCATGAAACTTGGAAACTTAGTGAAATTTTGCCCTAGTTTAGGCAGGATTTTGACGTAACTTCATGGAAATTTTTCACATAGTTCCAAGGGGAAATTTCAAAAGTGATTCAAAGAGGGGTTGTAGATCACATTACAAGATTTCTAAAATTTCCAAAAACTCCTTGAGATCATGTTTGAGCAAAGAGAATCCAAGGCATGAAGTTCGCATTTCATTCTTGAATTATAGGTCAATTTCATGATGAAAAAGAATGAAAATCCATGCTAGGCTACACAATATTTGCTTTGCAGGCCTCAAACTTTCTTGGAACTCCATAATTAATGTTTTTCACAGCTGTTAGAGGCTTCACCTCAAGCATTCAATG